CATCTTGACACAATGGTGCCACGGTACGATTGCGTCTCTTTTGCACTACGTTGTATCGACATTGAAGAATATTGAAGAATGGGTTCATAGTTCGGGTGCACCGAACTTACATAATGAATTTCAAATTTCGATAATGCGTACTTATCAGTCATTTAACTCAATTATCATTTTACTCTTACCGAGATGCAATCTTCGAAGATGCAATCTTCTGAACCCGTCGTAATGTATCCGCAGAAATTTTTGCACATGTGTGTTTTTCATGAATTTCACATACGCTGTGTATTTCTTTTACATTTTTCTCATTAAGTCCTCGGAATATTTTTTATTATAGTTTCGATTGTGCTATTGCATATTCTTCTGATTTAACAAATAAGAAATGTGTACATGTGTTTTGCTTGATGTAATTTTTTTCAAAGGTACTTTAGTAAAAAGTTATAATATTGGCGGATGATCGAAAATATCGTGTTTATCTCGCGAAAGTCGCTTGCACACTGAAATTGTACTCTGAATTAAACTTCCATGATCATCTATACTAAAATTGAGTGAAAGAAAAAAAATGACTAACAAGACCGACATACTCTTGTACATCGCATGCTGCAACTACAGGAATGGTCAAATTTCTTGCACAACTCTTGTTAACATTTTTCCTTTGCGTTACCAATTATAGTCTTTAGAAACGTGTGTGTGTGATATATATGATCGATGTAAATGTAACACCAAAACTTAAAAAACTTATTATTGTTAAAACTTATTAAAGCTATAATAAATATCATTTTAAGAAATAGAAATAAAATATATTGATATATTTATTATAATTTATATCTGTATTACATAATAAAGGTTTTATAAAAGTTGCAATTTACCATATTATTCATATTTTTTACTCAAACTTATATTATACTTTAAGAATTCTATAATTTTATTTTTATTTACGACTCTTTTATTCCGTCATCTTTCAGATCTTATAAATAAATAAAAATATTTTGATAAAAAAGTGGAAATAGTAAAAAATAAATTTAAATTATAACAATTTTTAGATATGTAAAACAATAATTTGTATACAATATATACAGGAAATATTTGAAAGATAAGAAATATATGTATTCGAAGAAATGTATAGAATATTTTCTATTATTATAGAAAAACATCAAATTAATATTTTCAAGTTAAATTGCAATTTATATTAGCAATTATAATTAATATTTTATAATAAAACTTGAATCTCTAGTAATATCAATGAAGGAAAAAATTTTGCATAATATTATAGATAAATAACCATTCAAGGTATGGTATTTAATTAAACGAGGCGAAAATACCAAAGAGCACAATGTAAACTCTTAAACCAGTTTGTGTGACCCACATAAGTAATTACGAAATATGCTCTGTGCACGAAATATTTGCTCTTTTGCCTCCTGCAAAAAATAATAAGTTACACAATACATACTCAGAGATACGTTTAATACTCCATAAATCTAACATTAAAACTAATAGAGTTTTAATGAGTTCCACTTTTCGTTTGAATACAATTCTCGTCGTCATGAAAAAAAGAAAAAATAAAACTAATTTTCGTGTTAGATTACAATAAAAATGTCAAATCTCATTAGAATAATTTCAATCAGTAACACTTTTGCCGTTCGAATCCTTAGACTGAAGTTTTTAAAAAGTTGTAAAATTATAATTTTTAATATATTTTTATTATCTCTTATTTGATTTCATTTTTCTTAGTTGATCGAGTTTTTTATTTAGAAAATTTTTGTCGACATAGATGACAATAATTATAAATAATTTCAGTTAACGTCATCAATTAATTAAACCGATAGATAAATTATATAAAAAATATACCGTTTACCTAAAATGAATCGATATTTTATGAATATTGATACTATAGTATTATTAATTTCAAATGTTCAAAAATTGGAATATAATCAGATAAAAAATATATTGTAAACTATAGCCCAAGCAAACAATTTACATTTAAAAAACATTTAGCAGAAATGTTTTTTATCATGTACAAAAACGTTAAATAGACGTTATTAATGTTATGTTTATTAAACCATTTTATTAAATTGTCGAATATCTTATATAAAATGTTTAAAATTATGTTTAGATCTAGCAGAAAAACATTTAATAATTATTATAAATATAATATGTCTTACAAACGGTTTTATAATGTTTATTGAATAATTTTAAAAGAGTATCAAATATTTTAAACGTTTATTTTTAAATTTATATAATTTATTAAACAATTTTTAATGTGTATTAAATATATTTTAAACGTAATTGTGTTGCTTAGGAAACTATAAATGCTGATGAGTATTTCGTAAATGCAAGAATTCGCCAATGCTATGACCGCATCGACGCCTGAGCCATAGAAAGTGCTATAATACATCAAAAAAAACATGAAGGTTCTATGAAGAAATGAATGAAAAGCGGTCTATTTCGTGTAAATCGTAAAAATCGGTCCCGGTAAAAAATTTTTCACGCAAGAATATATATAAATATGTATTAACATACATAAATATTCATAAACATGTATAATTATATATGAAATATATTCATACGCATTCATACATCGTTCTTTCTTTTGTAAAATTACTTTTTAGTTTGCGTTCAGTTTCGACGTTCACATGCTTTAAGCGCGCCAATTGTAATCATTATTCTGTCTTCTTGGTTTATTAGACATAAAATAAGAATAGAAGTGTTGAAAACGTCTAATCGAACGCAGCCGCAATCTACTTACAAGTCCTAAAGCACTAGTTTTTCGGATCACATGTTGTTAAATAAATATAATATTTTCCATCAAATAATGTATACCACAAGATTCTTTAATATTTGTTTTATCTTTTACAAGTGTTTTTTTTTTTATTAGCAATAGCGCTGCACATTTTATCGATGTCGTTAACTAATAAAACGAAAAAGATAAACTAATAGCGAGTTCGATTGGAGACACTAGTGCGCACTGGTGCACATTGAAGCCTGTCGTACATGAAATGATGTAAAGATATGTTTAAAAATAAAGAAGTCGATTAAATTGTAAAATACTCAATACATTTTATTGTACTATTGGGTAAAATATATATTTCATAATTCGAAATATTTGCATTTTATTTTTATACTCAAATTAAATCAGTGTACAATGGCAATATGCACCAGTGCGCACTAGCTTCCAATCAAATTCGCCATAAGATTACTAAGGTAAATCTTTAAAAATTCATTCAAGGTGTAATACTATAAGGATTGCCTTATAACTTTTACAGGAAGTAGCAAATAGCTTTAGATTTCATGAAAAAAATCAATATTATGCTCAGTTGAAATTAAATCCAAAAAATATAAAACATTTGGTGAACTAATCCGCAATTAGTAAACGGGGTGTAATTGTGCATAATTGTCGTTACTTCATTTAATTCAAATTAAAACATATAAAACGATACTGAAATGAAATCAAATCATTCATAATGTAATCTTTATGATTAATTATAATATATATATATA